TTCTATACCCTTTTGCGAAATTTTATAACCGAGATATTTAAGTTCTTTAGTTGCGAACTTGCATTTTGAGGCGTTAATTGTAAGACCGGCCTCTTTTAATAATTTAAAAACTTGTTCGAGGTCATTAATGTGTTGTTCCAACGTACTACTCGTTATAATTATATCATCTAGATAAATTAAAGTTGATTTTCCTAGGACAGGCTTTAGAACAATGTCCATAGCTCTCTGGAATGTTGATGGGGCCCCACACAACCCAAAAGGGCATGCGTAAAAATGCATAAGTGCCCGATTTTGTTATAAACGCGGTTTTATGTATATCTTCGGGTCTCATAGCTATTTGATAGTAGCCAGACGTTAAGTCCAAAGTAGACATATATCTCGTCGATTTGATCTGTCTAATGATCTCGTCTATAACCGGCAAAGGGTAAACTGGGAAATTTAGTTATGCTATTTAGTTTTCTGTAATCGATAGCAAACCTCCAAGCCCTTTTATCCGAAGGAGGAAACTCGTTCTTTTTCCTACATAGTACGACTGGACTCGCGTACTCACTATTTATGGGCGTTATTATTTTATTCTTTAACATCTCCTGAATATGTTCTTCGATGATTACGTCTTTTTGTTTATCATAGCGATAAGGTTTAGTCCTACAAGGTTTTTTCGGCATTTAATTGAATCTTGTGAGTCACGATCTGACAGTTTCCCGGTTTTTCTGAAAACAAATGAGAAAAATTACTCACCACTTGCTGTATTGCTTTACTTTCCTGGTCATTCAAATGGCTAAGGTCCAATTCAGGTGTCTCCACAGGTTCCACCACCCTCTGGTCCATCTCCAGCACCACGGAACTATCTTGAAAATTTAATTTGGCCCTCGCGGCCCTTAAAAAAGTCCATACCTAAAATAAGAGAGTGTTGGAGGTTTTCACCACAAAAATTAATACTTTGAGATTTTCCTCTTTTACCTGTACGTTTAATGATAATGATACTTCCCGATGCAGTGACATGTTTTTCCTTGCGCCGCTATAATTTCCGTATTTCTGGTTTTAAAAAGTCGTATCCTATAAAAATTCTTTTTGAAGAACTTTTCACTCATGAAAATTTCCTTCTGCTCCTGTATCGATGAGGGCTTCTACTGGTACATCGCCAACCAGGACTTGTATAATTGGTAGCTGTGAGTTTTTTACGATGACTGTATTTAGAGGGTTTTCTTTTTAAAAACTTCCGGGGTCTGGACCCTCCCTTTCACAGGCCCCTCTAGTCGTTTAAAGCTTTCCTTTCAATCTGTGTCTTCTGGGTACGCGGATGCTTATTTTCAAATTTTCTTTTTGGGCCTTGACCTTCGAGTTTCGATGCGTTAGCTTGATAGTTCTTTCCCCCATATGAGCGATTTCCATTTCTGGTTTCCTCCTTCCTTCTGGTACTTTGAGAATATGTTTCCCCTCTCGCTCTTTTCCGCTATTCTGCGATTTTGAAACTTCACCGCCAATTCGAAAAGTTCCTGCAATGTGGTTGGGTTTCTAATTTCAAAGTAGTCTTGACAGCGGGTAACAATCTTGGTAATATTATTTCAATAATCTCCGCATCGGGTTTTTTCCCATACAGCATATCCGTTAGCTTGATTTTTCGTAAAATAAAGTCCGTCAATTGTGCTGTATCCCGTTGATAGAAACTATATAGCTTCGGCTTCCAGCCGTGCGCGATCTTTCACTATGGGGAAGGCCTTTACTAACGATTTTTTGAAATTTTCAAATGTATACGTCGGGCTTCCAAATTCACCTAGATAGAAATTTGCCTATATTTTTCCACCATAGCGCGGCCTGTCCTCTTAGTGCTGATGTGGCGATGGCAACTTTTTGTCTTTCAGGCACAGGATAGAGCTGAAAGTGGTTTTCTATACCTTCTAAAAATACGGACACCGAATTTTTTCCGTCGAAATAGACGTTTGGCTTGATTGATGCTCTCAAAGTCTGGACCAGGTATCCAAATCCTTCTAACTGCGTTGTCATTTCTTGGTGTTGTCCAGCGGCTTCCATCCAGTTTTCGGCCATTTCAGTTCGATAAGTGTTCGGGCGCCAATATAACGTTGCGCGCCTCTAACTAGCACGCAACCAAGAGGTGACTGACTGTGAAAGCTTGTATAAACCACAGAGTCTTATAAAGGGTTTAAGTCCCTTTTTATTCAACGTAATAATTACAATTGCGTTCTCTTGACGCTTACAAACGGTGCCAACTCGGCAGTCAAAATAAAAATAAAAACCTGAAAAGAAATTAAAGACAATATTCTAACTACGAGGCTCTCTCTAAATAACTAACTCACCGCGTTTTACAATACCGCTGCTAATTCAGCAGACTTGAAGCTCACTGGAAACAATTGCAACTACTTCCCGCCAAGCACATAGGCCGCAACGCGGGGTTTTTCAAATTCTCGATAACTACCTCCGCGCTCGCTAAGTAAGAATAACTCTTCCTCACCGAACTTGTTTCCTTCTATTTAAATCATACTACTTCCGCTGATAATTTGAATGCTTGCGCGTTCTACTCAAATTTACATATTCTGGCATTGGCAGTTCCAGGGGAAAGTAAGGATTGACAGGAAAGATAGTTTAAACTTAAAATAAATGTTAGTTAAAATAAATATAAACCCTACAAGCATCCTGATTCGCCGCTTCATATCACGTGACCCCAAGTGATCTCATCTCGCGTAAACTACGCTACAAAAATCTAATTCTCTCAGTAATTATCTACATTAATTTCAAGTTAAATCTTAATTTGGAATACAAGTTTAAATTATTTCAATTCGTACGAATAGCTTACTCAGAAGTTATGTAAAACCGCAGTGCTTTACTTCGCTAGTGCATTCTCATTAGAATGGATGAATTTAACCCTTGACTTTGCTTTTTCTATATTTTCGTCTTCGGATGAGAGGTGTGATTGCATCCTAATTGCCTTAATTACCGCGAATCGCCTTAGGGCATAAAATTGAACTGTCTGATAAAAATTCTATGTAATTGTATACCAGTATAGAAAGAAACAATCAATCTGATAAGAAATGGCTGCAACTTGTTTTGAAAATGAAGAGTTAAAGGTTACCAGGGAGGATATTCCGTTTGGCATCGGTTGTACCATTATTGGCGACTTTATCGCCTGCGCCGGCAAAACGGAAAAATACCGTTTCTGTATTTAATAGTAATCTGAAAAAATAGTAAAATCAATGGTGTAATATATGAAAGTCCAAGTCAGTTTCTCGGATAAAGTACTTAAACAACCTTACTACTTTTGATAAGCTTTGAAGTATTTCGCGAAAGAAGATATATTCTATTATTAGTAATACTGTAGAGTTCCTCACACTTTTTGTACTAAAATGAACGTTGAGGAACCTAGTGAACTTGTTAACAACTTATCGCTGAGCTCAAACAAATAAAACGTAAACTCGAGAAGGGTTAACTAGACCTTATTTCACTCAAAATAAGAACTGTCAACCCCTTTCTTTGGGCTTACAACAAAGCCTCCACTTGAGTTTAAACTCAAAAATAAAAAAATAAGAGCCAACTTAGAACTAACTGAAAGAGATTTAGCCGAAGCTAGCATAAATCTAACATTGTTGGCCCTTATTTTAAACTAGCCGGCGAATACCAAAAGGCACGTAATATACGGCCGAGCATAACAGCTTCTGGGAGACTTAGTCCGAAGACAAACACGGGCTACTCAGGATTCCTAGTTGTCTCTCTCGAAGTAAGTTGAACCTTCCTTTAATACTACTTTTAACTCATTTGCATTCAAAGCAATTCTGGTAGGGAGGTGTAAGTTAAAGCAAGAGTCGATGGGAAATCACAATTAATTTAAAATAACTATTATAAAATTAAAATATACCTTACAACATCTTTGCATGTACTGTGAAAATGTTTGTTATAAGAGAATTTGCAAAAATGTTAACAAACATTAACATTAAATTAAATTAAATTAGCGTTAAAAGAATTAAAAAGCGTTTTAAAATGAAAGTTCTGAGGTATGAAAATTAGGGAAACATTACGTGAATAAGTAAGTAAGCTAATTAAGTAATTAAGTAAGCTAATTACTTAGTAAGTAAATAAATTTAAAACATTAAAATTTACTATATACATACTTTACTATATAGCACAACATTACAAGCAGCATCATACATTTAAAAATGAGCATATTTTAAAAAATAATAGGAAAACCGAGTCTCAATAGCTTTGTTATCATTAGTTATAAGCTGATTAGACCTACCGAAAAAATTAATTACCAAAAGCACTTGAATAAGCTATAAGTACGAAATTTTAAACAGCAGTGTGTCTCGATTAAAAGCAGTTTCTAATAAATACCAAAATTTTGGGATCTCCTGTAAAATATTGTTACGTTATTTTCTTTCTTACTTCTGACAGGACAGCTCCAATAACACTTTTTACAGTCGTCGATGAACTGCTATAAACACGTTGACACGATCAGCGACACAGCCTTCAGGTTATCAGGCTGTCACGGTGGAGACAGCTTCACTGCAAAGCACCAGAGTACAGCTCTCGACTGCTCAGTCGTTTTCGGAACTCCACGTACTCTCGAGACTCTCCACGCTACAACTCGCGATGCACTCGACGACACACGAGCACAGCTCCCGGCTCTTCGGTTCAGTCATTCCCGGAGCTCACATGCTCTCTCGACGATGCACTAACCGCGATACACTAGGACACTCCTTCGGTGCAGTCGACGACAAACTCGGCACTCGTTGCCGGGCTGTCAACTGGATCGACTCCGGACGGCTCGCTAGACGAGGCACGCACTTTCTCTGAGACACACTGACTGACTGCGGACCAGCAGGGTTTATATAGCTTTCGGCTTGTGTTCGAGAACATTCTGGTCTAAACCGGTAAGAACTCGTTCCAGAAGGTTCTCCATCCGTCCATGGTATATCGCCAATTTTGTCGCCAGATGGACGATTTCTTGCCAAATGTGGCAACCCTGCCCCCCCTTGCCATTTTATGACAACCCTAAAACTATCTTATCACGTCTGTACATTTCGTAATAATATTCTTGGAAATACTCCTACAAGCCGTCTTTTTTCTTTGCAAGAAGAAACAGTTCTTAATAAATGTTTAATGAAACTGATTGACATGCTTCTTACCGCAGGTCCAAATATTTCTTGACGATCGTGTATAAGGATCCATCCCATTCTCCAGCCAGGTACGAGGAACCTAAATAAGATGATGTTTCTAATTAAAAAACAAATAAAATATGCATATAGAGTAGCAATTTCCTTGCACAGCTGATGTTGATTTCTCAACTCCAGTAGTTTACATTTGAATAATCTTTGCAGTTTTCTTACCCACTAACCTTCGAATAAAAATCTAGTTAATTGAAGTTATCAGATTTCATTGATTTGAATTTAATAGTTGATTACTATCATAATTTTTACTATTTAAGTAAAGGAAAAATAAATTACGAAATCTAAAATGATTTTGTAGTGCAGAAAAACAGGAAGAGGAAATTCTAGAAAAGTTTCGTTATACTTAAAGAATTTCTAACAAGCTGATATTGTGAATGTGCTTTAAAAGTGCAAAAATATTGCTGTGGTATTAAATCGACAAATTGTTGAGTATTACATTTTATAAGGTATTTCTCCCGCCTTCCTAGCATGCCTTCGTGGTGTAATGATCAGCACGCTCGGCGCGTATTCGAGAGGTTCGTGGTTCGAGTTCCGGCTAGGGCATTGCTCATTTTTCATGTCTCCTGATTCGAAATAACCTAATGTATGTACAATTTAAGGTACGAAGCGCAGTTTTGGATTTTCTTAATTAGAAAACAATTTCTGCGAAGTGGAAAATAATCTGTTGATTTGTAAAGGTAATTTAATGAAATGTAGGTTGCGCCAATCCAGTTTATTTGCAAAAAATATTTTGAAATAACCCCTTCTTAGTCTTATTAGGTCTCTAGCAATTAACTGCATAGTACTTTTTTATTTTGTTTTTAACTAAATTTGCATCACTTGTATCGTAGATAATAACACAACTACTTCAGATGACACTATAAAGTTTGGTATTCTTTGGAAGCATAAACTACAGACTTTTAAAAGGCTATTGAAGAATTATCTTCTAGTCTTGTGAAACAAAACAAAAGTGAGAAAAAGGGTGTGTAAGACCCTTTTATTTGAACACAAAGAAGTAACAAAGACCCATTTTGAGTTTACACAAGCCAACACTTCTGGCTTAACTTAAATACGTAATGTTGAACTAATATCAAATTTAATAGATTAACCTAACGACCGACAGAATAAAGTAATGCGGAAGAAAGGCTCTGGTTTGTAGAAAACCGGCGAGACAAGACTAATGGCTAGAAACACTCAACGCCACAGAATCAAATCGCTAATAAGTCACTGTACAACGTGGCCTGAAATAGGCAGAACACGCTGTAAAATTAACTTGCGTAATCTTCGCTTAAATAGCACTTCTTTCTCCCTAAATCTGAATAAACGCTCGCTATCTCATTTACGTTCTGGCATGAAAAGTGTAGGTGAAAAGAGTGACAAGAAAGCACTATTAGTTATAATTTCTCACAACAAACTATGAAAACAACCAGTTAGAAGCTGTAACTGCAAGTGTATATTCATCATTCGTAAGACAATTAGATAAAATGTTTCAAATAATAAACATAAACAAGTAAATAATTTTAGAAACACAGCATTATACTATTTAGTTCCTTCAAATAAATATTTTATGGTTTGTATGGTATCAAGTGCGCGGAACTTTGGCATTCTCAAGTCTAAAATGAAGATAATATTTGTGATGATCTAATTTTGCATGACTTCCACAGCACTTACTTATTACGATATAATTTAGTTCCATACTAACTCTGAAATTATGATTTTCATAAATGACAAATCTGATAAACGTCTCGGAATAAAGACAGAAAAGAAACATGCCAAAATAAAACATAAAATTAGGCAAAGTAACAACCAATGTTTGGCGTAGGTTTTAGTCAAAACTCATCAAAGATTTTAGTCAAATCTGTGGCAGATTTCTTTGCTCCTGGTGAAGAAGGCGGTATCTGTTTGCCCTCGAAATCGATAGTCTTGACTAAAATCTACGCCACTGATAAGGTTGTTAGTTGCTTTGCCTCATTTTATGTATCTCGGAAAATGTACCACTTCTTGAATATTAAGAAATCTTATTTTTAATCAATTTTCTAAAAAGTAAAGTTATTTGGTAATTCTGGATATTTTCTTTTTTGTATTTACAGTTTGCAAGAAATGGCATCACGATGATTAGTATAATGAAGTGTTGTGGAAATCAGCTGAAGTTTCTCAAAAACAGATGCCTAAGTAACATAAAATATTGAACTCATGTAACTCGATACATTTGATGATTAAATCTGAAAACTCCTATTTCAAAGGCAACATTTTAAAATAAAATCCTTAGCTAAGTCACTCCTTCATGCATATAATTTACTGCATATAACATTTTAAACTCAAGTAATGTATTTTTAAATTGTTAAAATTAAAAAAGTTTAAGAAAGATTAAGATTTAAAAAGATTAAGATTTGCATTTATTAACTTTCAAGCTTACTTTTTAGTCAATCCACCGCAAGACAAGATGGGAACTTTAGTCGACAGAGAGGCAATAGGATGGAAAGCTTCTCCACGGAAAACCTGGAAAAAAATTATCCAGTTAAATGATGATATTAATTGGTGTTTGCACTTTAATTTACTTTCCATTTTAGGAATGTAATTTTCTAATTGACAAGCAGAACATAAAATGATACGCATAGCCTAATTATATGACTGCTGACAAGTCAGCATTACTTTAATAAGCAAATTCAATAACGAATATTAGCAAATTGAATTGGTAGATACACTCATGTCCATAAATTAAGGATAATGCAAAATCAGGCAAAGGAAGAGTTAGAAGCAAAACAATTTTGACTTATTTGTAAAGTTTATTTATTAAACAAAAGGTAAAGAGCAAAAAAAGATGCTATATGTTTGATATTATTAAAAAAATTAGCGATTTTTTCTCCCTGGAGCAAATTACAAACAAAAAAAAAAAAAAAAAAAAAAAAAAAAAAAAAAAAAAAACCTATTTACAAAAAACCAATATTACATGGTTGATATGATTGTTCATACATTGTATGTCTCCCAGACGATGCAATACACTTCCTACAACGCCTAGGCATACTGAGTATCAAATTATCGATCTGATCTTGGGGGATATTACACCACTCAAAAAGAAATGCTCTCTGTAGTTCCGGTAGACGTGTAGGAGGAGGTTGACGGGCTGCAACTCGTCGGCCAAGCATGTCCCACACGTACTCTACAGGATTCAAGTCCGGTGAGAATGCTGGCCAGTCCATACGGGTGATATCCTCCGATTGAAGGCATTCGCTTACGATGTTTGCACGGCGAAGACGGGCGTTGTCATCCATAAACACAAATTGTGCGTCCATGGCGCCCGCCCCGAAAGAAACGTACATGTTGTTCCAGAATGACGTCCCGATAGATTTGGCTTGTCATGGTTCCAATTTGAACATGCAGGTCAGTTCTGGAACTCAGAATAATTCCACCCCAAACGAGCACTCCTGCACCACCGTAACGGTGTCGTTCAATGATGTTTTCTTGGTGGTAATGGGTACCTGGAGCTCTCCATATGAAAGTCCGGCGAGAATCAGACTGCAAGATAAACCTGGACTCGTCGGAAAACATCACACAAGCCCACTGTTGCGGTGTCCACAGTGCATACTCTCTACTCCAGGCTAACCGCAGGCGACAGTGAGTTGCAGTAAGTGGAACGCATCTGACAGGTCTACGAGCATATAGACCAATCTGCCCTAAGCGTCTGTACACCATCTGCCTTGAAATTGTCTTACCAGTGGCTGAAGAGAACTGACGAGACAGGTCTGAGGCTGTGCTCCACCTGTTTTTTTGGCAGTAACTGCCAAATACCGGTCCTCATTCGGCGTTGTAACTCTGGGGCGACCTGTGCTGTAACGTCTACTCACATTACCATCATCTTGGAATCATTGCCAAAGCCTGGAGATGACACTCTGGGCAATTCCCAGTTCGTCTGATACTTCCAGTTGGGTACGCCCACATTCCAGACGGCCGATAATTCTACCACGTAAAAAATCATCCAAATGCTTCGTTTGTGTCATAACTATTCGGTTATTGCACTGAAATGCTTATAAAGCGCCTGCGAACAATTTTACTTCTTTGCCTGTATTCCTTATATATTACTCTCTTACACTCTCGTCATTGTGACGTACCGTTGGTGTCATCTGGTTACTTCCTGAAATTTGCATATGATTCTTGAAGATGTGTGTAGTGATTTTACAGGTGATATATTTATTTTAGAGTTCGATTTCCGCGTGACTCCGAATTATCCTTAATTTATGGACATGAGTGTATTTCAATGTAACTTGTAATAAATTTCCTTGAAATATAACCCCCCATTTCGTTTTGGCATTTTGCGTCGATTCACTGTAAATGTCCGTATCACTTTTCAAACTCTTGCCACCAAATATTATCGCCCTGTGTTATACCTAAAGAAATTAAATAATGAAGAATCTGCATAAATGTATGTACGTTTCTCGCATTGTGATAAAACAACGGTACCTAAAGCCATCCAATTTTGAATAACGTAATCCTTCTCCGAATATGATCATCTGGTAGCCCACATTTGGAATTTGTTTTACTATCGATTTCAGATTTTATAAACCTTTAACGAGTTTTTTATTAAGAAATTCTATGATTTCAAAGCGAGCAATGGCAAAACTGTACCGGGGGAAGAAAAAAAACATATCTCCAGCGCGCGACACTGTGTATCGGAAATTCTAAAGATATGTTCATTTTAAAATAATATTGCGATATTGCTGTTGAACTGAATTTTGTAGTTTAAGTGCGAAGAACATGATATTTAATAATTAAAGGTAACACACAAAACGTTAAACAACGCCCCTTTGGGCGTAATTGTGAAATCTGAAAGCTTTCAGATTTTTTAAAATTTAATTTAATTTTTTTAAGCCCCTAAAGGGACGTTACTCCCGAATGGGACAGTAATCTCGAAACGGCATTTTGCATTGAATCACTAAAAACGGCTCTATCACTGTAAAAATTGTTATCACAAAATATTACACTTAAAGAAATTAAAAAAAATGAAGAATCTTCATGATTGTATGCATGTTTCTCGCACTGTGAAAAAACAACGGTACTAAGAGCCATTCAGTTTTGAATCACGTAGTCCTCAACCCGAACATGGGCACCTGGAAAACCGAATTTTGAATTTCGAATTTGTTTTATTATCTATTTCATATTTTGCAAAAGGTGGAAAGGCAGTTAAAAATGTTATACGTGTTAATATTATAAATTGTTTTAACAACACGGAGCAAATATAGATGATAAAAATAGTAACGTACAAAATCTTCGTATATTTCATCCGCAATTATAGGAACACAGTTTCGGTTGGCAATTTCTAGTATTGCTCGCAAATGGCGTTTGGAATATACAGATCCACACGGATTTGATGGATTGTTGATGATGATGGCTGCTGTCTGACTGTCTATCTGAGATTCCATACTTTCCAAATCAGCTTGCCATCCAAGATGGGGCTAAATAAATAAATAATAAATACTGTAATTAACTACATGAATTAATATTCATCATTGCTTCTTTTATCATACAATATTAATATAAAAGCATCAGAAATATATAGCTCAGCGAAAAATTTCATTTTCGAGATAGAAGGCGAATATCCCAACCAAAAATATGAAAATAGACACTATTATTTATTCTCATATTTATGAATTGTTTAAAGAATGAAATTATAGCAAATAATTTTTATTTTTGCAGATATAATAATACTAAAATCTTGTGCAGATATGATGAGTTAGACTCTCTAATTGGTAAGCTTCAAAATGCCATAAAATGCCGTAAGAGAAAGGTGTTTTCTTGATTACATGTGCAATAAAGTCCTGCCTTTTTATATCTAGACTCCTCTTCTTTGGAGACCGCTTTACATTTTTGTACACATTTCAAGATGCACTGCTTTTATAGAAGTTAGGAAACATATCCATGAGTGTGCATACGTCTTCGCTGTCAATAATGGGATTGGTTAGGTTTATTAGATTACAGCAAAGCACGCAACGGCTATCTGTCTAGAAGGGAGGGAGTCTCCGTGGAGGGCTTTCTAAGGGAAACTGTATCGTTACAAGTGCAGTGGTGGTCGCTCAACTACCATATTCGTTTAAGAACGGTAAAGTCGCTGCAATACCATGTTCAGCGACTTTACCACTAGGCCGCTGGACAAGGAGCTATTCGGAATTAGGTATATTTTAATTATGAAGATGATAATCCTAACATTTTATGCTAAATTTTGAATAGTTGCAAGAAAAAGCTTTAACAAAAATATTTATGCTTATCTAAACTTTCTGTAGGTTTTAAATACTGTTAAAAGTGATAAAATTCATACTCAGAAACTTGTAATTTTAGACTTTAATTGTTGGCAATTAAAATGGCTTTATCCTGGATCAAGAAATTATCCGTGGGGTATTACATTAATTTATACTCTGATGCCTTGTCTGCTCTTATGGCGCTCTCCCGCCCCTTTCAAAAGAATAATATTGTTAATGAAATTAAGCATATATATATATAGAGCTACGAAAGAAGCATATTTTGAATTTACATTGGATCTAAGCTCACGCTGGTCATTATGGGAATGAGAGAGTGGATGCTCTAGCGAAAGAAGCCGACCTGGCGGTTGGGACCGAAAAGGTTTTTATTCAAGATTCAAAAAAAGAAGACATGTTCTATACTATATATAGCTAAAATGTTAACATATAATACTATCTAAAATGTTTAAAAATTAGCAAAAAAAGGAGAATTTTAGGAGATGCAGATGTCAATCAAATTCTCACTGCACATGGAAGGTGCCCTGCAGCGAAATGATATATGTAAATTTTGTAATGAATTCGGCGATTCAAAGCATTTCGTCGAGGACTGTTGTCTCACTGGAAGTGTGAGAGAAAAATATAATTTTGCGAAGTTTGAAGATTTATTTAGTAACTATACATTGCTTAGAAAATTTGCAAGAGATATTATACAAACTGTAAATGAGAATAAGAAGAATATTGTATCGAGATATAACAAAGCAGAAAATCATACTGAAAACAGAAATAATTGAGGTAACTTATAAATTTAATATTAATTTTGAGAGTATAAAGAAGATGTGAATAATAATAACTAATTGAAAGTAAAACTTATAAAGATTTTAAACTTAGGAATAAACACAGAATTGGAAACAACACATTTATATATAATTTCGCCGAGAGTGTTTGAAATGTATGTTATCTGCTTTATGTTTTTATATATATATATATATATATATATATACTTTGTGGCTTGGTCGGTCCGCTCATAGCCATATGGCAGGTTTCGCCTGCTAGGTGGGCTGGGGGCCAGTGCTTAGAACTAACCTACTAATTCAGAAACTTGTATTCAATGCAATACGAGAAGGAAAAGTTGATTATATAATTTTAAACAAACTGTGCTTACCAGAAGGTCATAGGATCTTGTTGCAATGCCCATTGATTCAGCAACAGTTCTGTAGATGGAAAATCCCGGCCTTGGGATTAGGATATTTTGGCCAGGATTCGCAAGTCCTATAATGCTCATTTCTAAAGCGTGTGAGCAGCCGCTGGTTAATATAACATCCTGAAAAGTAAAATGTATTATTTTATATTGTGGCATGTTCTCGAATGAGTTGAAATTTTGCAGCGTCTTAATGATGAGGTTGCAAATACAGGATTTTTATAACAGAAGAAAACAGCTTCAATAATTTATGAAAAAAAGCACCGTTAACGATAGCGAGTTGAACTTTGAAGGAGTTTGTGATCTGAGGTATGATTTTTTTTTAATAGCATTTCGTGTGATGACACTCGAGGTCACCGCGTATCCCATGTAGCGATGCCACCCCTTGCCTGTCAAAATCCGGGAGAGGAAAAAAGGTTTAAAAGTATTTTTTGAGCTGCCAGAAGCAAGCACACTTTCACAAATACTTGTACATTTTGTTCTACCACAAGAAATCGTTTTTGCCAAAGAAGAATCTGGAAATAGAGTGTTATACAATTTCTGCAAAGGCTATTAAAAGTGTGATGGTGCTTATTCCTATGATAGACTGAAGTAATTTCAATTGCTAATACATTGTCTTGTTTTTCTGAAGATTTCTTCACGAAAATGTTCGAAACCGATTGCGATGAATCCCTATTCAATATTAACGACTAGTGTTTCTTGCTTTGGGAATGCCCAGTTAAAGCTCTAACATCCTCGTACTTAATATTAAGCGCTTTCCGACATGCTTTACATTCTCCGTTAAAGTTGCCTCTCTTCATAAGGCAATCAAATTGAGTTAACCACTCCTCTTGAAACGACGTCGAATATTTTGTCTTCTTTTTTGTGGCATTTGTTCACTTGCAGAATCAGAATCGTTTTTTCCACTAGACGTTATTATGAAAGCATTTAAATAATTTCAAAATACGCACTTGTTTGGGGATATGTATTGACATAGATATTCTTTGGTTACTGTTCGTGGTCTTGTGATTTTCGAAGCTCTCAACCATTTCGTCCGTGCGCATTGTGTCGTTATTTTCGAGAAACTTGATATTCCGGGAGAATAATATTTATTTTAAATTCCTTCCGGGAGCCGGGAGATTTTAATTTTCACGACTGAATTCCGGGAGAGGTGGGAACTCTAATCCCATGATTCAATAGATTAATGACCTCATCTGTCAGGCAATGAAGACGTTTTGTAGTTTAAAATTCAGTGAAATGAAACTTGGTGGTACAGCGCAAGCTCCTATCAAGTCTCAGGAAATCGTTTTAAAGTCTAGAAATACTATCAATGATTTCTGTGAGAAAATTAAAGCTTCAGGCTGATTGTGCAGATGTAAAAATCTCAAGCAATGTCTCGTATTCGATAAAGAAATTGAACATATCGGAGGTGCTTTTCAACATAGCTTCGAGGAAATCAACAAGGAGGCCAAGTCTTGATTCCACAACTTAAAATTGTCTGGAATTCATTCCTTTGCAAATTGCAATTAATGCAATACCTGTATAAGGTATTTCTCCCGCCTTCTTAGCATGCCTTCATGGTGTAGTGGTCAGCACGCTCGACGCGCATTCGAGAGCCGTGAGTCGAGTCCCGACGAGGGCATTGCTCATTTTGCATCTCTCCTGCTTTCAAAAAAAAAAAATACTTTATGTACTCCCCCTTTTAAAGGGCGACTGGGGATTATGGGACCCAATCGCCAAAATTCTGGTTATGGAGAATCATCATCCACCACCCTTTTAGTTCGGGCGCTACTGTAGAGACATTAGGTAGTTTTTTTGAAGCAGGAGATGTAAAAAATGAGCAATGCCCTCGCCGGGATTCGAACCACGAACCTCTCGAATTCGCGTCGAGCGTACAAACCATTACACCACGAAGGCATGCCAAAAAGACAGGAGAAATACCTTATACCTGAAGGAATTTTACAAAACAAAATAAAACAAGCCTGTTGCACTGTAGACGGGCTATTTTGTCCCCAGTCTATGTCGCCGCATAAAATGCTATGAAAAAGTTTCATATCTACATGCACATATCTTTTGATGTTTCTTCACAATTTTTCACTAATTAATCATTGAAACAGTCCACTTATGCAAATAATTAGGGCTCAGTGTTTAGATATAAAGAAATTTGCAATTAGTAAAATGGAAAGGAAACCATCTTAGTGGATTTCATATAACACCTGCATATAAATTCTTTTTATAATAATTTACAATTTATTTCAAAAATAAAACAATTATGGAATAAAATCTAATTTACTTTCCACTTAATCAAGAAATACAAATGAATTGAACTAAATTACATTTAGCATTTTGATATAAGAATCTGTTAAGCTTCCTGTTCTAGGAGAAAGAAAGATATTTCTGTATTCAGAGGAAGAGTGTTCCACATCGATGATTAGCTACAGACAGACTGCGTTCGAGCCTGTGGCAGACATCTCTGCTTAAAGAATTTTTCGCAAGTCGCAATATATATATAATTTTTTTCCCCCTCTTCTTTTTTTTTAACCCAAAAAGGGCTATTAGTCACGAAATGGGATTTTGCGTCCATTCACTATAAACGGCGAATCACTTTTCAAATATTTGCCACCAAATATTATCGCTCTGTATCATTTTTAAGGAAATTAAATAAAGAAGAATCTGCTAGCCTTTCTGATATCTAAGTAATTTGCTTAAACTGGCGACGACAAGAAGAGCACTGACTTCTTAAGAAACTGTAAGGATACGTACAAGTGTTCGTACTTAAATTATAATTGATTTAGCAATTTGTAAATGAATTAGCATTATCAATTAACTTGTTTCGCTGATTTACTCTATAAGGTATTTTTCTCGCCTTCTTACCATGCCTTCGTGGTGTAATGGTCAGCACGCTCGGCACGTATTCGAGAGGTCTCAATTCGAGTCTCGGCGAGGGCATTGCTCATTTTTCACATTTCTTAATTAAAAAAAATCCTAATGACTCTACAGTGGTGCCCGAACTATAAAAGGGGTTTAGGCCCGAACTATAAAAGGGGTGACTGTGGTTAGGGGACCAAAAGGGGGAGTATATAAGGTATTTCTCCCGCCTTCTTAGCTTGCCTTTGTGATGTTATGATCAGTAGATCACGAGGCTCGATATACTTGGCGCATATTCGAGAGGTCCGAGGTTCGAGTCCCGGCGAAGGCATTGCTCTTTTTTCACCTCTCTTGCTTCAAAAAAATTCTAATATCTCTATAGCCCTTTTTATGCTGCCTTCTGTAAAGTGATAGCAAAAATAATCCATCCTGATCGAAAAACTAGGTTCTAAAGTTACAGATTGTGCATGCGAGGTTATTTTCCATATTGTCACAAGTACTTCTGATGTGTTGCAGGTAAGACCAATCAACTGACGTCAACAAAGCCTTCACACAAATGCACATATTCTTATCAAAATTTCTTTCGATTCATTTTTGTATTTAACAGCACATATTGCTGCGAACTATAAAAGCTGTTTCAAGGATGAAATTCTTAAAATCAGAATAAAATTTCCATTTTGGAGACCATGGGTTCCCAACCCTATGCCCGCGGGAATCATGGCGCCCGCCAATGCTTTAACGTGTGCTCGCCACTGTGCGATCACAATAAAAATGTTTTAGTGAAAACTAAAATTCCATGTGAACGTTTTCTCATTTTTAATGAAATAGAAATTGCGCCCAACACAGATACCAGTAGAAAGCGAAATGCGATCGATCTCTTTTTTATGTTTATGTAATATTAACTCTTATCCAACTATAAATTCACCTTGAAAAAAGTAAATGATGCCCGCCGTCCAACAGATATTGTAGAATGTGCTCTTAGGGACAAAATGCTTGGAAGGCCGTGGTGTAGACAAACATTTTACGCTTAACCACATGTAGTAAGACAAAGATACTGATTACTTGTAGACGCAAAGGGTGCTTTGTTTATTTTTCCTTCGGAGGCGTGTATTCAGAAGAAAAAATAAATGCGTTATAATAGAATCTACTATTATGGAATTAATTATTATGAAACTCAAATGTTATTATTGAACTCAATGTTATGGCACTCAAGATACCTAGATGTGGCTCAGGAGCCATATCTAGGTAGTAGCTCCTAAGGAAGATACATGAAGCCATGAAACGATGTGGATGAAAAGAATACATTTTGGTAGCATGGAACATTATTATGCATTCATAAAAGTTAAGAGGTAAAATATGAACAGAATGAACTGGAAATTTCTTAATGCTCAGTGTTCGATTCGCTCGATGCAGCCTAAAAAGGCAATTCACCTGACCACATAATCTTGCCTCAACCTGCACTTATTTTCAAGTACCCATCTTTTTCTTCGAAGAATTCATTGAGCATAAGTCAGATATGATCTGATATGAGGGAAGCAGCCCGACCCTCCTGGCGTACTTTACATCGCTCTATGGCCTTTTTGCGGACTGCGCCAGAGCAAGCACCTTCAACAGACATGAAGAACATAACTAAAAAACAAAATTCAGATTAAAATCCCTACTGCAAGCTTATTATGATTAATCCTCTCCATCATTTTCCTGGCAAATTTTTTCAGTCTTTTAAAATCATTTAAAATATCATATATATTAAAAAATATCATTTTTCTTAAACTCGTTCCTGATATCGGTAAAATATTTACATGTTTTCACATAATGCTCCGCAGTGCCCGGCTCTTTACTGATATCACAGAGGTCAGAGTTTTGTAATTTAAACCTTTTAAAATAGAAAGGACAACGGCCATGACCTTGGTTAACGTCAATGTCTGAATAACATAAACCTTTTTTAAGTTTAACATATTTCATATAACCTTTATTTCGATCAGACCTTTCCCACTCCTCCCTTTATTTATCATAAATATAATTTTTCATAACAGTCACAGCTTTACTTGTTGATCCCTGTACATCAATATCACGAGCATTAACATCGGTAATTGCCTCCTTGGCCAGTGCGTCCGCCCTCTCATTACCAAAATGTCCAACGTGTGCCTTCACTCAATTAAACACAATATTTTTATCTTCTCTCAAGTCTTTATATAATTCTCTAATATCTACTATTAAAGGGTTGTCTTGATCAGGTCGTGAGAACTGTCAGAATAAATATGTATATCATATTTCCC